AATAAGGGGACAAGATAGTTTCAAATCTTGGGCCTGGTCTACACTATGACTTTAATTTGGATTTAGCAGCGTTAAATCGAATTAACCCTGCACCCGTCCACACAACGAAGCCATTTATTTTGAAATAAAGGGCTCTTAAAATCGATTGCTGTACTCCACCCCGACGAGCGGAGTAGCGCCAAAATCAATATTGTCATTTCGAATTAGGGTTAGTGTGGCCGCAATTGGATGGTATTGGCCTCCGGGAGCTATCCCATAGTGCACCATTGTGACCGCTCTGGACAGCAATCTGAACTCGGATGCACTGGCCAGGTAGACAGGAAAAGCCCTGCGAACATTTGAATTTTATTTCCTGTTTGCCCAGCGTGGAGAGCACAGGTGACCACAGATAGCTCATCAGCACAGGTAACCATGCAGGCTGACAATCGAAAAAGAGCACCAGCATGGACCGTACTGGAGGTACTGGATCTGATCGCTATATGGGGAGAGGATTCAGTGCTAGCAGAACTTCGTTCGAAAAGACGAAATGCCAAAACTTTTGAAAAAAATCTCCAAGGGCATGATGGGGAGAGAGAGAGGCCACAATAGGGACTCAGATCAGTGCCGCGTGAAAGTGAAGGAGCTCAGACAAGCCTATCAAAAAAACAAAGGAGGCAAACGGTTGCTCCGGGTCAGAGCCGCGGACATACCGCTTCTACGCCGAGCTGCATGCAGTTCTGGGGGGGGGCCGCCACCACTACCCCACCTCTGACCGTGGATTCCGAGGTGGGGATAATCTCATCAACTACACCTGAGGATTCTGCAGACGAGGAAGAGGAGGAGGAGGACGAGCTTGCGGAGAGCACCCAGCACTCCATTCTTCCCAACAGCCAGGATCTTTTTCTCAGCCTGACTGAAGTACCCTCCCAACCCTCCCAAGCCAGTATCCAAGACCATGACCCCATGGAAGGGACCTCAGGTGAGTTTACCTTTTTAAAATATAAAACTTGTTTTAAAAGCAAGCGTTTTTTAATGATTACTTTGCCCTGAGGACTTGGGATGCATTCGCGGCCAGTACAGCTACTGGAAAAGTCTGTTAACGTGTCTGGGGATAGAGCGGAAATCCTCCAGGGACATCTCCATGAAGCTCTCCTGGAGGTACTCCAAAAGCCTTGCCACAAGGTTTCTGGGCAGTGCAGCCTTATTCCGTCCTCCATGGTAGGACACTTGACCACGTCATGCTTGCAGCAAGTAATCTGGTATCATTGCATGACAAAGCCTGGCAGCGTATGGTTCCCGTGTTTGCTGGCATTCAAGCAACATCCGTTCTTTATCTCGCTGTGTAATCCTCAGGAGAGTGATATCGCTCATGGTAACCTGGTTGAAATACGGGAATTTAATTAAGGGGACATTCAGAGGTGGCCATTCCTACTGGGCTGTTTGCCTGTGGCTGAAAAGAAATCCTTCCCTGCAGTTAGCCAAGCGCGGGGGGGTGGGGGGGGGGGAATTGGCCCAGAGCTTTTCGCATTTGGCTAGCAGGGATCTTCCCTGATACCAGCCACGCGGTTGGGGGTGGGGAGGGGTAAAGCGATCATCCCAGAGAATTCATGGCGGGGTGGGGGGTGTTAGTTTGGTTCCTGCAGGGATCTTCCCTGATACCAGCCACGCGGTGGGGGGAGGGTTAGAGCCATCATCCAAAGAATTGGATGGGGGGGTTTAGTTTGTTTTCTGCTGCTGAAGGTTAACAGGAAAACCGCAGCACTCAACGGGCTTTGCTTGGTATGTGGGAAAGGAGGGCGCAGAAGCCGAAAGACAATGGCTTACCATGGCCGCATGCAAGCCGAATTCTGTTGCCCGGACCTGCGTCTGTGATCCCTAGCAGCAAAGCCACAGGCACTCAATATTAAGAGGCAAAATGCGACCTTGCACAGAAATCACGTGTGCTATGTAATGTGAATTGTGTTGGTTACCGTGAAAGAGTATAAGCATTGTTCTGCAAAATGTATATTTTTAAAAAATTCTCTCCCTTTTTTCCTTCCCTCCCAGCAGCTGCAAATTTTTCAAGCCTCCCTCCTCCATCCCGAAGGCTATCTCAGATAAGGCGTTGGAAAAAGAAGACGTGAGACGAGATGTTCGCAGAAATCATGGAATCCACCCGCAGTGAAAGAGCTCATCTGAATGACTGGAAGGACACGGTTTCAAAGTATAGGAAAGAAGCCAGTGAACGTGAGGACAGGAGGGACCAACGTGAGGAGAGACGCTCGAGATGAGAGGTGGCGGCAGGAAGATCAGAGGAGGCAGGATGCAACGCTGGGGCTGCTGCGTGAGCAAACAGACATGCTCCGGCGTCTGGTGGAGCTTCAGGAACGGCAGCAGGATTACAGAGTGCCGCTACAGTCCCTGTATAACCCCCCGCCCCCCTCACCATGTTCCATAGCCTCCTCACCCAGATGTGTAAGAACGCGGGGGGAGGCTCCGTACACCCTCCCATTCCACCCCAGTGGACAGCCCAAGCAAAAGCCTGTCATTTTTTTAACCTTTTTTTAGTGGCCTTTTCCTTCCCGCCGATCCTCCTCCCAAACCCCACCCGGGTTCTCTCCCTCTTTTTATAATCAATTAATAAAGAATAAATGATTTTTAAATGATAGTGATTTTATTTCCTTTGAAAGCAAGCTGGGGGAAGGGGGAGGGTGGGTTCCTTACTGAGAATGAGTCAATAAAGGGGGCGGGTTTTCATGAAGGAGAAACAAACAGAAATTTCACACTGTAGCCTGGCCAGTCATGAAACTGGTTTTCAAAGCTTCTCTGATGCACAGCGCTTCCTGGTGTGCTCTTCTAATCGCCCTGGTGTCTGGCTGCGCGTAATCAGCAGCCAGGCGATTTGCCTCCGCCTCCCACCCCGCCATAAAGGTCTCCCCCTTACTTTCACAGAGATTGTGGAGCACACAGCAAGCAGAAATAACAATGGGGATATTGGTTTGGCTGAGGTCTGAGCGAGTCAGTAACGATCGCCAGCGACCTTTTAAACGGCCAAATGCACATTCTACCACCATTCTGCACTTGCTCAGCCTGTAGTTAAACAGCTCCTGACTCCTGTCCAGGCTGCCTGTGTATGGCTTCATGAGCCATGGCATTAAGGGGTAGGCTGGGTCCCCAAGAATAACTATTGGCATTTCAACATCCCCAACGGTTATTTTCTGGTCCGGGAAGTAAATCCCTTGCTGCAGCCATTTAAACAGATTAGTGTTCCTGAAGACGCGAGCGTCATGAACCCTTCCCGGCCAGCCCACGTTGATGTTGGTGAAACGTCCCTTGTGATCCACAAGTGCTTGCAGCACCATTGAAAAGTAGCCCTTGCGGTTTATGTACTGGGTACCCTGGTGCTCCGGTGCCAAGATAGGGATATGGGTTCCATCTATCGCCCCCACCACAGTTAGGGAATCCCATTGCAGCAAAGCCATCCACTATGACCTGCACATTTCCCAGAGTCACTACCTTTCGTAGCAGCACCTCAGTGATTGCTTTGGCTACTTGTATCACAGCAGCCCCCACAGTAGATTTGCCCACTCCAAATTGATTCCCGACTGACCGGTAGCTGTCTGACGTTGCAAGCTTCCACAGGGCTATCGCCACTCGCTTCTCAACTGTGAGGGCTGCTCTCATCTTGGTATTCTGGCGCTTCAAGGCAGGGGACAGCAAGTCACAAAGTTCCATGAAAGTGCCCTTACGCATGCGAAAGTTTCGCAGCCACTGGGAATCGTCCCACCCCTGCAACACTATGTGGTCCCACCAGTCTGTGCTTGTTTCCCGGGCCCAGAATCGGCGTTCCACGGTTAGAACCTGCCCCATTAACATGATCTCCAAAGCACCGGGGCTTTGAATTCTGTGTCCGTGTCCATGTCCTCATCACGCTTGTCGCTGCGCTGCTGTCGCCGCCTCCTCCTTGCCTCGTTTTTCTGGTCCTGGCTCAGCATAAACTGCATGAGAACGCGTGAGGTGTTTACAGTGTTCATGACTGCTCTCTTGAGCTGAGCGGGCTCCATGCTTGCCGTGGTATGGAGTCGGCAGTGTTCACCCAGGATAAAAGGCGTGAAATGGTTGTCTGCCGTTGCTTTCATGGAGGGAGGGGTGAGGCTGTACCCAGAACCACCTGCAACAATGTTTTTTGCCCCATCAGGCACTGGGATCTCAACTCAGAATTCCAATGGGCGGGGGAGACTATGGGATAGCTACCCACAGTGCAACGCTCCGGAAATCGATGCTAGCCCCGGTACATGGACGCACACCGCTGAATTAATGTGCTACACTCTGAATCTTGCCTTTTGGAGTGTTGACAAATTGACAAGGGTGCTGCTTCCAGACAGGCAGTTGTGTTTATGGAGAGCAGTCAGACCAACATGGGATTGGGTGTTGACGATGGGCCTTGTTCATCTTTGAGATACAGCTCACAACTTCAGAGTTGTCACACTCCAAAGATGCTGCTTTATGTACAGAAGATGGGATTACTGAGAACACTTCTCCACTGAATGATGTGATCATTTATTAGTGTTTCTTTTTTAATCAATTGAGATATTGCAGTTTGAGTTTTAAAGCCAGATCTTGTAGCCATCAGTTCAGTGGATTACTCATGTGCACATCAGTATTCAACATTGTATTTAGGTTCTTTTCAGCTGTGCCAGGGCATATGTACTTCTATTATATACCAGTATAGGGACTGCAGCTTGCATCATCCTTCTGGCACCTCTGAAGAGAGATACTTTCACCTATCTTCCATATCTCTGGAGATGTATAATTGACCCACTCCAACCTTCCTTGTGTTTGCCTGCTAACCCTCACACTGAGGCATACTGCTGCTTTTCATAGCTTTCAGCAACTCATCATCTGCCTAATGTTTCAGGTGAAAACCTTGGAAAACATGGTACAGTCAAGAAATCAGACATTTTTCTTTGAATTCTCTAGGATTTTTCCCCTTTATACGTGACCTCTCTCAATGCTTCTAAATTCACTTTTGTTGTCTAAAGGGACAGATAATGGAGGGACCTCATCTGGTAGCACATCAGGATTTCCTCCCAGCGCTCCTGCTGGGAGTTCTAAGACTGCCGCAAGGAACCTGGGGACCTCAGGTGGAGAGAAGGAGGAAGGAAAGAAAGTCAGACGTCAGTGGGAATCATGGAGCACAGAGGATAAGAATACCTTCTTCGAGGGACTTTATGAGGTGTGTGTATATGGAAGAAGAAAGGCAGGTAGCTGGCCTGGTGCTTCTTATGGAGCCCGTACTTGGCTGGCTTGGTTCTATGTTTAAATGAAAACTTGATTTGGGAGTTTGTAGAGGATGACATTTCAAATTAGTTTAAGTGCACATATTCTGTATACAAGTGAGCACAACTGGCTGCACAATGCATGTGAACCATAGAATCATAAGAAGGTAGGGCTGGAAGGGACCTTGAGAAGTCAAGTCCACCTTCTTGCACTGAGGCAGAACCAAAGCTATCTGCTTAATAATATCAGGCACTGTGAAGCTAGAAGAAGAAATCAGTTTACTATATGCATGCAACCCCCAAACTTCATATTTTCTTACCTTGTCCATAGAATTTGTACATGTTTGAGGTTGTCTATTAAAATAAAGTTCCTGTCTCCAGATGTAATGGACAAGGTTGCATCATTCCTGTGCAATGCTAGGGCCATTTCTCTATTTTATTCCATCTGCCTGAAAAAGCAAAATGTTAAATTCTCAGCAGGAACTTCTTAATAGATGTGGAGAGTCCTGTGGCACCTTTAAGACTAACAGATGTATTGGAGCATAAGCGTCAGGCGTCTGACGAAGTGGGTATTCACCCACGAAAGCTTATGCTCCAATACATGTTAGTCTTAAAGGTGCCACAGGACTCTCTGTTGCTTTTTACTGATCCAGACTAACACGGCTACCCCTCTGATACTTAATAGATGTGAGCATTCCATAATGAACACAGAAGCCCCGACAATGAAATCATGTGATGATTAGTATTTTATTTTTCATTTACAAAATGTCTGTAATAAAAGCCAATTTAAAAGTAGTGTAAATTGTTTCCAATGGGGAAAAATACATATGGTGCCCCCATCCCAACCTTCAGAAACAAAATGTATACAATTGTGCTGCATTATTTTTTTACATGGCAGCATAACCTCAGCTCTTTATTATGGAGTTTTATAGAAGTTAGAAATGGATAACAACTTTGGCAGAGAACAACCCTCACACACCAGCTGTCACACAGTCTTAAACTCCTAAACAGGATCTGGCCAGGTCTATAACTGGATAGGAGAAATGGAAAAGCCCTAGCTAGATCATAAAGTCCAGAAGATGATAGTCTGTGTCATTAGATGGGATTCCTCATCCTTTTTATCCTCTGCACTTTTTGTTCCTCAATTGGTTTTGAATCTTGTACTTTTTCAGCATGGGAAGGACTTTGAAGCTATTCAGAACAACATTGCTCTGAAGTACAAGAAGAAAGGCAAACCAGCAAGCATGGTGAAGAACAAAGAGCAGGTCCGGCACTTCTACTACCGCACCTGGCACAAGATCTCTAAATATATTGATTTTGATAATGGTGAGTATGCAGTGGGAGTGGATTCCATGACCAGCTCAGAGTCTGGGATAAGTATTCGTTCTGGTGGGAGTACGAGCCCTGTCTTTTAATATGGTCTCAGAGCACAGGAATGGTGAAGATAAGAAAAATAAATATCTGATACTATTAAGATATCTCTGAATACCTTGTACTGTACCTGTCATGGCCACAAGTAGGCTCACTTTTACAAATTTAAAACAAAATATTTTCCAACAGCCGGTTACAAAACAAGACCGTTCCTGTTACTAACTCCACGCACCTATAATAAATATTCATATAATAATAAATATTCGAATAAATAGACATCTCTTTAATCAGCAAAAAGCCAGATTAAAGAGATGTCTCTTCCAACATATCCTGGATGTCACTGCTCCAAGGGTTTCGACTTCGTTGATACAGCCAGAGCATTGTAGCTAATCATGACTTCAGTGATCCCAACTTCTTGGGTCAAGCAAAATCCAGTAAAAAAGCAAAGTGTCTGCATGCTAACATATGGCTGAAATGTTGAACTTTTCTTGCACTTGTCCATTCAATAAACATCTAAGTTACTTTATTTCACTGAATGGACAATCCAAGAATCCTAAGCAATGTATGCTTTTTCCCCTTGTTGGACAGTGGTGGGGAAACCAGATAGCCAAGTAACTGGCAATAGTGATTTATACCTGTAATAGTAATTAGTGCGAACTGAGTTCTGAATTCACTTGACTTGTATGTACAGTAACTCCTCACTTAACATTGTAGTTATGTTCCTGAAAAATGTGACTTTAAGCGAATCCAATTTCCCCATAAGAATTAATGTAAACGGGGTGGGGTTAGGTTCCAGGGAAACTTTTTTTGCCAGACAAAAGGCATTACATACATTTTAAACAAGCAATTTAATACAGGTATTAAACAGACTGGCAGCCCCCCTATCAGCTCCCCTACGCCCACTTCCCCCCATCGCCTCCTGCCCACCGGCGGACCCTGCGGATCAGCGCCTGCTCCTCCTGCCTGCAGCAATCAGCTGGTTTGTGGCGTTCAGGAGGCTGGGGGGAGGAGCGAGGACATGGTGCGTAGCTTCCTCCTCCCTCCCCTGCCTCCTGAATGCCGCAAACCAGCTGATTGCCACAGGCAGGAGGCGGGGGAAGGCGCTGATCCGCGGGCTCTGCTGGTGGGCAGGACGTGCTGGGAGGAGGGTGTAGGGGAACTGATAGGGGGCTGCCAGCCATGGACAAAGCAAGCAGGCCAAACAACGTTATAGCTGAATATTGCACAACTTTAAATGAGTATGTTCTGTAATGAAGCAGGGATGTAACATCGAAACAACATTAAGCTAGAGGATGTTAAGTGGGGAGTTACTGTACTTAGTAAAGGTGAAACTAGGGTCCAGGACTGTTTGCTGGTAACCTTGTCTAGATGATGGACTTAAAAAAATGTATCTAGCAAAGTGTGTGAATTCCTAACATGTAATATCTTTTAACATTCAAAAGAACTAATCAGGAGTGCTTCTTATGTTGAGCAGCAAATACAGGTCCCCTTAGTTTTCATATTCTACTGATCCTGTATTCTAGTTGTACATTGTATTCCTGGGGGAATTCTGCACCAAAAAAAAAAATTCTGCCCACAATATTTTAAAATTCAGCATATTTTATTTGTCAGAATAACACAGTATAATCACACCAGTTTTAATTATTTTTGGTCATTTATTTCAAAATACCTGTCAGCCAGTATGTTTAACAATACAGACAACAAAAAAGATTCAGGAAATATTTTTTGACATAGATTCTTTACTAGGCATATTAATACAGAACTCCGAGTAATAATTCATTTAAACTACAATATAGAACCTTATTTCCCACACCCCTCAGAAGCAGTGCAAAGGCTTGCGGGAGTCAGGGGTAACAGAGGAGCTGAGGGAGTGGGAAGTAAATTGCTGGGAAGGAGCCCGGGTGTGAACTTGGGGCGGGGGGGGGGGGCTGGGTACAAGTGGGAAAAGTATGGAACAGGTGGTGGTGG